TATATACACACACACACACGTATATATGTCTATGTATATATGTATATATATGAATATATGTCTATGTATATATGTATATGTATGTATGTGTTTATGTGTGAGTGCACATAATATGTTTAGCTTTACAGATAGAACACTTTCATTTTTTGAGCATTCTTTACGTGCTAAACACTATGTCAAGCATTTTATTTTCAATGCCCCCATTTAGCCCTCATAACAACTATGGGAGGAAGATACTATTATTCCCATTTTACTGTTGAGCAAACAGAATTTTAAGAGAGTGGTTAAAGTAATTTGCCATAAGACACATTTATGAAAGGGTAGAACTGGGATTCAGTGTCAGGGTTCCTAAACACTGAAATTTTGCATTCCTGTAAAATGGGAATAAAAATATCTCCCTTAGAGGTATCTGAGGAAGAAACAAGATAAGCTCTATGAAAAAATCTTGTAAACTGCAAAGTATTATTTTCCAAAGACTCAGTTTTTGCCCTCAAGCACTTTACAATCTGACTGAGTTGATCAATACAGTGCTTAGGTAAATCTAACCGAGTGTCAAAACATATGGTGTACACCTTAACTACGTAATTCAATGTGGCATCATCATGAATGGGACAAATGGACAGGGCATGCCTCCTGACATGACATGACAGGGTGCCACGGGGAGGACACAGCATCACCTTGATAGTATATTCTTGCCCCCAAATAGCTGGAATCCAATCAGACAAATCCAGATTGTGGAACATTTTACAAGACAATTTTCCTGGACTCTTCAAAAATGCCAATGTCATAAACAAAACAGAGACAGGGAGAGACCCATACTAAGTTAAAGGAAAATAAAGAGACATGACAATTAAATATACTTTGTGAATCTTGATTGTATCCTGTGTTTTTTTTAAGCCATAAAGAATATTTTGGGAGAATCAGAGAAATTTCAGTATGTTTTATAAATTAGCTAATATTAATGCATCAATGTTAACTTTCTTAGGTGTGATAATGATGTTGTGGTTATGGGAGGAATTATAGGAGGAATGTCCTGGTTCCTAAGTATTTGGAGTGAAATGTAATGATATCTGTGACTTTCAAATGCTTTTGCAAAAACCAAGAGTAGATAGATAGATAGATAGATAGATAGATAGATAGACAATAAGTGTGTATATATAACATATAAACCTATGTATACTTAACATGTTTATATAAAGTGAAAAAAGGGAAAAAATGGCAAAATGTTAACACTTGGTAAATCTAGATAAAGATTTATAGGTTTTCCTGTATGATCCTTTCAACTTTTCTCTAGGTTTGAAAATTTCCCAGTAAACATTGAGACTTGAGCAAACAGGTTTAAAATTTTTTTTTTTTTAACGTTTATTTATTTTTTTGGGACAGAGAGAGACAGAGCATGAACAGGGGAGGGCAGAGAGAGAGGGAGACACAGAATCAGAAACAGGCTCCAGGCTCTGAGCTGTCAGCACAGAGCCGGATGCGGGGCTCAAACTCACGGACTGCGAGATCGTGACCTGGCTGAAGTCAGACGCTTAACCGACTGCGCCACCCAGGCGCCCCGAGCAAACAGGTTTAATAGAGAGGGCAAGTAACTTGCCATTAAACGCATGTATTAAATGGTGGATCCAGGGTTCAATGTATGTCACAGTGCTAAAGGGAGATAGCTTTTTCTTCTTTCCTTCCTTCCTCCCTCCCTCCCTCCCTCCCTCCCTCCCTTCCTTCCTATTATTTTTTTAATGACAGGTTTTTTTTTAACGTTTATTTTTGAGAGAGAGAGAGAGAGAGAGAGAGAGAGAGAGAGAGAGAGACAGAGCATGAGCAGGGAGGGGCAGAGAGAGAGGGAGACACAGAATCTGAAGCAGGCTCCAGGCTCTGAGCTGTCAGCACTGAACCCGATGCGGGGCTCAAACCCCGTGTGATCATGACCTGAGCCGAAGTCGGACCCTCAACTGACTGAGCAACCCAGGTGCCCCGGGAGATAGCTATTTAAAGGAACCTAGAGCTGAACACTTTTACAATATCTCCAGCAAAGGTATTTCTTCATTGGCTCCATTTTTAATCACTGGGGTCACTCAAGAGGGGGCCCCACACAGTTCCAGGGTCTGAGGCAGCTTCTCCACTCTTGTTCAGGAATGACTCTAGTTGTGAGTTGTTCAATAGAGCTGCTTTCCCTTTGGCTTTAGTGTAGTCAAAATTGTTCCTTGCCCCAGCCTCCAGGTTCCTAGAAGACAAGGCTCAACATTCTTGCAGAAACCGGGAACCCTCTTTGGTGCTGTGGTTTCCATGATGCAAACAAAACCCACAGGACAAAAATGGTGAGAAAAGAACCTTCAGCAAACATGCCTGTGGGTCACCATCAGAGTCACCTGAGGTGCTTATTTATTTATTTATTTATTTATTTATTTATTTATTTAATTTTTTTTT